ACAAAATGCGGACCCCAGGTCCATGGACTACCTTCGTGGACCTGGTCCATGGACTACACTCGTGGACCACGGACCACTCCTGTGGACCACTCTCGTGGACCACTTGCAAAATTTCGCCTACCGAACAATAGACCAAGCACTATTAACCCGAGTTTACGAAGCCGAGATTGGCGGGAACTATTTCATTATTCATTTTCCATTATTTATTTCACAATCAAATCAGTTTTTGTTGATGAACAATGAATACTAAGTCTGTAAAAATGCTGAAAAAATGTAGTCAGGGTTCATAAAAAAATATAGGAATACTGTGGAGAATCTGTGGGGGGGGGGGGGTAGTCAAAGGATTTTACTGAATTATTCGAATTTTACTGTTAAAAATCACTTGAACTGTAGAAGTCATAAGTTGCAATGACCTTTCAATGCCTGAAGGTCCTCTCTCAAAAATATTTATTTTTGAAGCTCGATTACTGCATTTCTTGCATTTTCTGTAGTGATCGAAAAAAACGACCAATTTTAAGGGCATATATTCAGAAACTTTGCATTAAAGTCGTAATTGTACACTTGTATTTTAGAACGGTCATATAGTGAATGGATTTAGAACTTCACATTTTGTGTAGAGTTTCCACAATGATAATAATAACTGAACTCGAATCGAGCACATTTTTCCATGCACAGTCAAGATCGAATTCAAACCCCAAAACTCTGGTGTCTCGCAAGTAGTCCACAAGAGTTTGTCCACGGGAGTGGTCCGCGGTCCACGAGTGTAGTCCATGGACCAGGTCCACGAAGGTGGTCCACGGACCTGGGGTCCGCGTTTTGTCGTTTCCCCACGGCAAGGGTTACATTGTGTATTGTACGACTAGAATCAGTGGTAAATAAGTCAGAAATACAAGTGATTAATACGGCGCCGGCTGTTGAAACTTTGCATATCTCACTGACACAAATCCGAGCGAAATTGCCTAAAATAACGCTGCAAAAGTTTAGAGGAAACGTTATGAATTGGAATCAACAGTATTTCGAAAGTCGACAAAATTATTTGAACTATTTATTTTCGCATAAATGCTCGATCAGTTCAAGGATTGACTTTAACCGAAGCAAATTACGACGCGGCCATTGCTATTCTCGAGGAAAGATTTGGTCGACCACAAATTATTGCCGCTCATATGGATGAGCTTCTTAAGGTCCAACCTTGTTCAAACAAACGGTCATCATCTACACGCATAAAAATCTCACAACTTGTCAACAAGATGTGTTCGCAACAGGTTTGTAACAAGCTTGTGAACAAGTTGTAACAATGCTGTCATTTCATCAAGTTGCTACAAGGTTGCCACTCGCAACTTGTTGACAAATTGTTGAATTGCAGGACGATAACAAGTTGTTGGAACAACTTGTAACAAGTCTGTTGAATTCAACAATCTTGTAGCAAGTTGTCAACAAGCCGTTAACAACTTGTCAACAAGCTGGGAAGTAGTAATAGGAAGAAAGTATAGGGAAAAAAAGGGGGGGGGGGAGTGTGAACCAATTTTAAAATAGTATAAAAATATATGAAAATATGTACCGGAAAAATGTACGGAAAGGGTGATACTAGTACATATTGGACGGGGGGAGTTTTGCAAGGGCGTTACCCCATAAGTAATAAGGGTTGCGCATGCGTGTACAGTACTTTCATTTTTACCTCCGCACACATTGCGCATATATTGCAAATATTAAAAATAAACACAGAATAATCCACGTGACAGTCTTACATTTATTTTGTAAATTCATCATTAGTATAAATAATATGAAACATAGTATTTTATCGCTTATAACCCGGAAATGACGTGGGTAAAAGTTTATTTTTTAAGAATTACTTTGGTTTATTATATTTTACATTTAATCACATAGTGTTTTTATAGACTATTTTAACCGGAAATGACGCATTATCATTATTTTTTTAGAAATAACTTTGATGTATTGGTATGATTTTTTATCATACCCATATATCAAAGTATTTTTTTAGAAATTTAATATTTAACTATTTTAACCGGAAATGTCATCATGGGCTTATTGAGTAAGAGATTTAAAACTATTAAAATGTCAGAGTTACATTGATGACATATTTTTACATTTCATCAATGCAACTTTGACAATTTAATATTTAATATTACCCTATTTATGTATTTTTACTCCGCCTGCGCATGCGCAGTGCGGACACTGGAGTCGGTTGTCGACTGTCGTCAGTGTCACAAACAGGCTCCTTGATAAATGTGTACATTCCATGATATTTAGATACTTTCTATTGACATTTGTGGATAATGTTATACGATTTGGCAGCGCAATGCGCATGCTTACAGCTCTGCTTAGTGCTTACAGACTGTATTTTTCTAAACTGCGAACTGCGAAACGGAAATCGCTAGATAGTATACTTCAAAATAAGGTAACCGCGAGAAGACTGGGTACGAGTTTGCCAAAATCTTCGGAAATCAGTTACGAGCGTTCTACGAGGAAAACCAAAAGCACAATGATATTCAAATGTCAGACTTGGATATA